TGGGCCCTGAATCCTTGAATCGCGGAAGCTGAAGGTTCAGCTCTTCGCTGGAACCCGAAAGTTCTCAATCTCGACACATTGAAATCCTACCAGTTCAGACTGTGCAGAAAATCGCCTGCCCCGGATACCTCCACAGACCGGAAATTTGAACCTACCAGTAGCAATCGACAATGGCTAGGACCTCTGGCCCGACACAATCTCCACAAGCCCAGCTGCCACACTTTGGTTGATCTCGAAAAGTTTATGGCACGCTTCATCGCCATCTCCTCGGATAAGAGGCTGCAGGGGAATTACGGAAACACGCGTCAGCAGTTCAAAGCGGTCCTCACAAAACGTATTGCTGCGGGCAAGGGAAGAAGAAAGGTCAAAGCACCTTGATACCGACACACGGGCTTCTGCGCACAGCTTCCGCGCAAACTCAGCCGACGGAAACCCTTCCATGGGTGGTCGGCTGGGGCGTTTGGGAAGGCCAGGTTTTGGCGCGCGCAAGCTTATAGAAATAATGGGGTTCAACACCCCCTTTTCGAGCCGAGATGGACGGGAAGCTTAGTGCCGAAATGGCCAAACGCAAGTGCTCTGATATAAATAGTGTCGTAATGTGTCGTAGCAAGCATGCTGCTTGTCATATCGAACCATGTTGCAGCAGTATAGATACGCAGCGGATACACAACGTATCTCTTCCGCAGTAGTAGTACTACAGCGTAGATTCGTGCTTCCTTAAAGCGCCCAGTTTCAGCTTCGCGTCCCGGTTCTCGGCATTACTTCCGTCTTGAACTAACTTTGATTAATCGTCAATTGGCTGCTCATTGAATGTAAAAGCAAAATCAGAGCTACAGAGAGGGCATCTGCTTACGACATCTTACGACTGAGCTTGAGGATACCTGAAGGGAAGGCTCGAGAGTCAGCTGCTGTGCAGGTGCAGAAGCCGTGCTTACTCTTTTAGCAGCAGTCCGGCGGTGCCAGCCAGCTCTTCTCTTGAATGCAGTGGAGTGAAGGTTTGGGCGGTGGAACACGACTGTGTACTGCAAAGGGTCCGTGATGCTGCCCATGCTGGCCCAACGCAACACAGTGTCTTTTGACATGTAGGGATGGCAGCAAGCATCTCCTGTGTTGCAATGTTACGTAACCTTCCAAAGCATGCATAGCTACACTTTTGACCTTGGGCACCTTCAATGAACTCACCAGCACCAACTACTTGAATGCGCAACTCCGACAGCCAAGAGGCATAGTTCGTCCCGAAGAAGCGAACCGGATCCATGCCTCAGTGCAGCCAGGGTAAAATTTCGTGCTTCCGGGATGTTGGACGTCAATATCCAAAATTCCCCCTGTCTCCAAGCCCCTGTCATTGGTTTGCGCTGCTGACGCAAACAAGTGCAAGCTGTCCTAGCCCAAGCCAAGCCAACAACATTCTTAGCACAGGCTCACATCCTGCAACAAAGGACAGGCCTAGCCCCATCTGTGGATCAGCTGAGCGGCCCCACTCTTTCCGCACAAATTTCAGGGGGCTTATGAACTCCATCGCCACGGCGGAGATGCGCACACGAGGCCTGATTGCTGCGTTCGGACACGTAGGCGACATGTCGGAGTTTTCGGCTACTGAGGCTTCAGAGGGCTGGTTCTGCAGTGCCAAAGCAGACCGTCATGTTTACAAGTGCAGCGGCAAGTAAAAATTCCAGGAACGACTGCAGCGCTGCCTTCGTCGATAGCATGATTTGCTTGCAGCCACAAGAGTTGCGACACTCGGATTCTTGCAGTAGCAGAAATGATGGAGGTTCGACAGGTCCGAAAAACAGTTGCTTGCACAAACGGATGTGTTGGCTTCAGGGCAGGCGCGGAACTCGTCTTCTGACTTCTTAGAGTTGACTTCTTTTGGTCAGGCGCCTCGTCTGCGCAAAGAACTCCCAATCAAACTCCTCATGCGAGGGCTTCGAAGCCCTCGGCAGTTCACGCACCACTCACAGGCAAGGCAAGGGCCCCACTGACAGCCCTGAGACAGGCGCCTGGAAGCCTGCCCTATACCAGGAAACCCAGGAAATCATAACCCTGCAAACGGGAAGCCCCAAAGCACAACAGTCTACAGCTCACAAAGCCTAAGCGGCGCCACTGAATGTAGCCTATCAGGGCTTTAACTTAGAGGGCATGATTCCTTGCACGTGAAGCTTGCAAGCTTGGACCTTCTGTGGAGTAAGCAGCCCGTGAGCACCCCATAAAAGCCAGTCGAAGCACCGATCGTCCAATGTGCAGATGCATCGTGGCTGGATTCCGGCGGCCTGGACAGATCGGACGACCAATTAGCGGAACCACGTTGAGCCTCATTCCTCGCAGAATGACGCCTGAAACAAGCAACACTTGCAATCTGTTGTTTTCTACGCGTCACGGGCCTTGGGTACTTCCCGGATTGAGACTTGCAGCTCAAGGCCGGTGAAAACTTGACTCAAGCCCAGTACTGTAACATCCAAGAATACAGCCCAAAACTCCGGTGTTTCATTTCCTTTCTGTCTCTCTTCCTTCTCCCGCTCTCTGCTCTTGCTCTTGCTCCCTCTGTTCTTCGTATGCGCGGAGAGAACTCTTTTGCGGAGCCTGGTCGGTCTGCCCAAGTAACGAATTTCATTGGAAGCTCAGGGGTCTTGCCCATATTTAGGGAAGGGGGGGGGGGGGGGGATGCAACCATTAACAACCGCCCCTAGAAACCGTACCATCATGAGTCTTTCTACGTGACAGGAACTCTCTTGACAAGGAACACACCCTCGGGACCCCAACCGCCTGTCTAACCTTCTGGAAGCTCCGAAAAGCCCACATTATAATTACAATGCAGTGTGAACAAAGCGTGAATTATAATGATATTGGGCTTCTAATTCTAAAGGAGTTCACGGCCGGTTAGTTCTCTGGGTCTTGTGCTGCGGTCATCAATAAGGCTCGGGATTCACTCCGTTCATCTGTTTCCAAGCTTGTTGTAACCGCTGCGTTCATTCACATCGTGCGTGCATTTGTAATACAATTCATGCGTCCCTTGTCCTTA